AGCGAATCACTCAATTGGCTGGTACCGCAACGCGACCGCGGACGCTAGCGAATCGCGCGATTCGCAAAGTCTGACATCGGCCTTACACAGCAGATTTGTAGTGTAGCTATGGTTTAACATACTTCTTAAACCACCGCATGAGCTTGTACTATTTCACAGCAGATTTGTAGTGTAGCTATGGTTTTACCTACTTCTTAAACCACATGGATTATTAGGGCACACTCAAGGGCATGCCCTGGGACTAAACAAGTGAAGTAATCAGTTCGATAGGTAGGGTAGAGCGTTACGTGCCTCTAGGAACGAAGGTTAGTGATGCGGCTAGTGCTTGCCAACGCTCGCGGCTAGCGGTCCTGAGTGGTCCTCCTGTCGCTAGATATGCAGCGGCTTGTATCTGTCCCTCTCGTACAGTGTGCTCCTTCGCGTATTTTCCCTTCTCTGCTACAAAGGGTGTAAACCCGTAGTTTTAGTGGAGCGACAGTTAATTTGAATTAAAAATGAAGGCGCTGAGCGTCAAAGAAAAGAGGGTAATCATGTAAGAAGCGTAAATCGGGAGGCTAACAGCCGACGGAGGAAACGATCAACGAAATAACTTACAGAAACCAATCGATGGCGATAATCAAGGAGATGTCGTTGACAGGAAGACCCAGAGCAGTGAGAACGATCATCATAGTGACAAGCCCAGCACTAGGAATGGATGCTGCCCCGATTGATGCTAAGGTGGCAGTGATGCTAGAATATTTTTTGGAAGAGAATTTATAAATTAGGAAGCTCGAGAATATCTAACCTGACTGTCAGCACTTGTCCAAATGACAGGTCCATGCCATTCAGCTGAGCGATAAATATCGATGCAGTAGCTTCGTAGAGAGCGGTACCGTCCTCAAAAATTTACCGAAAGAAAAATTAGACTATGTCTTCACGAAGATGACGAAAGTGTTGGTTCAACCTTGTCGGAACCCGACTTAACTTCGAGTTTGTTTTTCTTTTCATTTAAAGTTTCATTTGGTTTCTCGTGATCAAGGAGCGGCGAATCCTAGCGGGAATGTCTTGTTCGCACTTCATTCCAGATAGTTCTCGCTGCGCTTGAATTACACGCAATACTAAAACTAACGTTCTTGCACCTCTTAGCTTCAGCGTATTCAGATTTATCATGGCATCTGGGTCAGAGCCAGAAATGCGATTTTCTGTGCCGCATAGGACCAAAGTATTGTCGTTCTCGTATATTTTTGGAGGCGGAGTTTACGCTTACCTTCAGAAGGCAGCTCATTAGAATTGAGGTATACGTGGTCGAAGGTGCAGGGGTGAA